AAGATTTGAAGATCAAGTGGGATGGACTAATAAGACTCTACTGTGATAACAAGTCTGCAATAAGCATTGCACACAATCCTGTGCAACATGATAAAACAAAATACATTGAAGTAGACCGGTATTTCATAAAGAAAAAACTAGACAGTGGGTTGATTTGTATACCTTATGTATCAACCAAAGGTCAACTTGCAGATGTGTTGACTAAAGGTCTCAGCAGTGCAACATTTCAAGAAATTATTTCCAAGCTGGGAATGGAAAATACCTATTCACCAACTTGAAGGGAGTGTGAGAAAACACTTATTTACAGCTGGTTGTAATCTTGTAATCTGTATATTTATATTTGTATCTCTAGAATTAAGTATTTGTATTCCTAGAATTAAGGAAGATTTAGTTTCATAGTTTAACCCCTAGTTGTTATATATAAACCTAAGATTCTTGTATAATTAAAAATAAGCAGTTTTTCAATACACATTCAGTTTTCACAGAAATAAATATGAATTGATGCTTATATCCATGTTCATGGAAAAATAGAATTTTATTGTCTGCTATGTGGTTTATAGTATTCTTAAAAAAAAAAAAAATTGGCCCGGTCATATAAAGGCATATCACCCTTGGGTAAGACAAGACGGTATCTCCAAGCCAGAAGGCTCAATGCCAGCTTGGGGTTCACTGTGTTGGGCTAAAAGCCTCCAATCAAATCACACAAGCGAAAGCAAAATCAAACAATAAATCAAACACACAAGAGATAATAATTTAACATGGTTCAGTCCAACTGACCTACATCCACGGATGAGAAACAAGATCCACTAGTTATAGAGAATTACAAACTTACATCAAATCATCAACCTCACTCAACAATCAATACTCATAAGACACTCTCAATCTCCTCTAGTCCTATAGAGTATTCTCAACCCAAACAAACACAAATCCAAACCCTTGTGCATTCTTTCAACATAACCAAATACATACCCATATGCTCCCATACATCATACCTATGTGGACCCTCTCAATCTCCTCTAGTCCACTCATAAACAAATATACACACCCATAAGACGTAGAACTCCAATACTCCTATGGGGTGTCTATCCCACAAAACCCTACAACTCTTTTACATCTTTTTCTCATACCTAACCCTGTAAAAACTTCATCTATTTATAACCATACAAACTTGCCCATTAAGTATTTCTCTCCTCTTAGAATTCTTTTTCTATAAGTCAAACTTGCCTATTAAGAATCTTTTTCTTTTTAAAATACTTCTCTTGCATGTCAAACTTACCTATTAAGAATCTTCTTTCTCTTGGAATTCTTTTTTTATAAGTCTTCTTGTCCATCAAGCAATATCTGACAAATCTCGAACAAATCTCAAACAAATCTTTTATGGGATTTGAGTCAATATTCCCAACAATCTCCACCTTGACTCAAATTCCATCAATCATCTGTCTTCATGCTAGACATGCTTGGCTCCACCTGCAATGAAAGTCTTACAATCATCTTCTCTTCTCTTGTGTCTTCACGCTTCATACAAACTAATCCTTAATCTTCAAAACTCAAACTCGAACTTTTCTCTTGAATTGAGCTCCTCTAAGCTTACTTCTTCCCATGTCTCAAACCAAGCTCTTCCCATATCTCGAACTGTCAACTCTTCTCATGTCTCAAACCATCGGCTCTTCCCACATCTTAAATCTTCAACTCTTCTCACGTTTCGAACCTTCAGCTCTGATACCACTTGTTGGGGAACACCACAGCTCTGATACCATTTGTTGAGAAACACCACAGCTCTGATACCATTTGTTGGGCTAAAAGCCTCCAATCCAATCATACCAGCGAAAGCGAAATCAAACAATAAATCAAACACACAAGAGATAACAATTTAACGTGGTTCGGTCCAACTGACCTACATCCACGGATGAGAAACAAGATCCACTAGTTGTAGAGAATTACAAACATACATCATATCATCAACCTCACTCAGCAATCAATACTCATAAGACACTCTCAATCTCCTCTAGTCCTATAGAGTATTCTCAACCCAAACAAACACAAACTTAAACCCTTGTGCATTATTTCAACATAACCAAATACATACCCATATGCTCCCATACATCATACCTATGTGGACCCTCTCAATCTCCTCTAGTCCACTCACAAACAAACATACACACTCATAAGACGTAGAGCCCCAATACTCCTATGGGGTGTCTATCCCACAAAATCCTACAACTCTCTTACATTTTTCTCATACCTAACCCTGTAAAGACTTCACCTATTTATAACCATACAAACTTGCCCATTAAGAATCCCTCTCCTCTTAGAATTCTTCTTCTATAAGTCAAACTTGCCTATTAAGAATCCTTTTCCTTTTAGAATTCTTCTCTTGCAAGTCAAACTTACCTATTAAGAGTCCTCTTTCTCTTGGAATTCTTCTTTTGCAAGTCTTCTTGTCCATCAAGCAATATCTGACAAATCTCGAACAAATCTCTAACAAATCTCAAACAAATCTCTTATGGGATTTGAGTCAATATTCCCAACACACTGATGATATATATGTGTTGAGATTCATTATAAGCATGTAATATTCATCCAGTATATTGAACTTTTACAGGATGATGGCTCAATCTAGAAGCTTTTGCCAAAAATACGTTTGATGCCTTTTTGTCTTGGAAGGTATAAAACATAAACCAATAAACAGGATTGATTGACTTGGCACATGCTGTTTGGAATTCTTTTGAATATATTCCCATCCTTATATTAGAAGCAAATGATGAATATACAGGATTGTTCTAGATAGTTATGTTGTTTAATTTACCATCATGTTAGAAGCAAATAAGGAAGCTCCTATATGATTTTTCGCTGTTATTGTTACTCATAAGCACGTAAGCACCCTTGTTTTTTTTCATTCCTGTTAACTTGAAGCAGTGCATTGCAACATTTGCAGGACATAGGATGGTTAAGATCTATTACAAACTTGCCGATTCTGATCAAGGGAGTACTTACTCGTGAAGATGGTAATAAGAGGCTCATCTTATCAGTTGCATTGTAGTTTCTTGCTTTATAAAGTAAATGATGAAAATGGACATTCTCAACTTTTCAAATTTGAAATGTTTTTACTAGAAAGATTGCTATGGCTGTAATCTTTTTGAACTTTTTTTATAATTAAATGAATTCACAAAGATAGACTTTTGGAAACCTTATTCGCTGGAATTCTGGAAAGAGGCCCCTTTCTTAGCCGGACTTTCTGTTTTATGGTTAAATCCTATACGCTGCCAGTTCAGCTTAGCTAAGTTGGTTCAAAGGATAGAATATGGTTAGAGATTCTTAGTTCAAGTTCAAGTGCTCTGCCACTGTACGTAAGAAGAAAAGAAACAACTTTAATCTTTCTCATATTCATACATTTATGCAATTCTGCTAAAGAGAATGCTCTTGCTTGATTAGTAATATCAGCTTTCTTGGGAAATTTAAATAAGATATTTCTTCACTATATACAACACCATAGGTTGATAATGTCATTCTAGTTTATAGAACACAATAGATTTTTTATTGTTTAATTCAAAGCTTTTCTCCTCTTTTTCTTTTTGGATACTCTGGTTTATTCCATGATATAAAACCATCACTTAAGATCTGATATATAAAATTGGTAGCAATAAAAGCTGTTGAAGTAGGCATTGATGGGATTGTTGTCTCCAATCATGGAGCTCGCCAGCCAGGTTATGCTCCAGCCACTATTTCTGTTCTGGAAAAGGTAAAACCTCTCGCTGTTGATCATGCATGGTTGCAAAGCTTTTAGATTTTCCAACATGATTAGATTTGTATAGAAAGTGATTAATGCAGGCTATGTTTTGCCTCTTTATATTTATAATCCATAAGAGAATCATAGTTGTTGGTCAAGTACACGAGGGAAAATGAAATTGCAAATTGGTTAAATGCATGTAAACAGCTTTGTTTCTCCCAATCCGTGTTTTCTTTCTTATGCTTTTTCAATTTGAATCTGCGTTTTCTTATGCTCTTCTCTTTCCATCCTTTTTGAAGATATGGAACCAATGAAGGCATAATTTTACCGTGGTTTTCAGGTGGGTCATGCTGTAAAAGGAAAGATCCTGTTTTATATGATGGAGGAATAAGGCGAGGAACAGATGTTTTCAAGGCGTTAGCCCTTGGTGGGCAAGCTGTCCTTGTAAGTTCATTTTGCATCCTACTGTTGCTATTGGATGCATACTAGATTAATTTTCCTATCTTGTTCGTGGAACTTTTAGGATTCTTGAATTACTTAAGACTCTTAACACTTTTTCAATCTTCAATCAACATTTTGTGGACATTGACATGTAAGAGTTGCAGATTGGAAGGCCTGCTGTCTATGGGCTTGCAGCAAAGGGAGTATATGGGGAGAAAAGGGTTGTTGAAATGCTGGAGGATGAGCTTGAACTTACCATGGCCCTTTCCGGATCCCCTACCGTGAAGGATATTTCCAGAAACCATGTAATAACAGAGCATGCAAGACTCCACTTTATGCTTTAAGATCTTTCATTATTGTTATATCTTCTTAGTAAGTTTGTTCAGATCATTGTTTACGTCAAACAAAGTGTGGAATCTGTCATCACATAATTTCATGGTTATAAGGTGATATAAAACTAATTGTAATTGAAGGACTAATTATTCACATGACTTATATTTTAATGCATATTATATGTTTGATTGAACAATTAAATGTTTCATGCATTGGTTTTGATTTCAATGAAATTTACCGGTTAGATATGAAGGAACTCTCAACAAATCAAATTTATTACAACCAACAGAAAAATTATCAATTGGAGAAGGTAAAATTTTTCACAAAATCTTTGCCCGTTATGTAATTATATGAACAAGTAAAATTTAGTGGGGTAAAAATAAGACATTTTTAAGAGGGGATTCAAATTCATCTCTTTAAATGGGAAATACACACACCAACATTTATTCAAGTACTCAGGTTCTAAAAACTTTTATTAGTTACAGCAACACAAGAAATTTTTGGGAGTTCCGAAGTGGAAGCTGCCCCCATTGTAAATTGTCTGTGGATAGCTTGGCACCAAGCGGCTCAAGTATTAGCTTTTGCACTTACCAAAAAGTACCTCATTCCTTTTGATCAAGCTGCTTTCCACCGACAGACACTGATCTGCCTGCAAAATTAGCTTTACAGGTTCTTCTACGAGAGGTGTGGCTTAGCACCAAGGTGGCTCTAGTATTAGTTTAAGATAAGAGGACTCAGAACATGCTATGTATTGCCAACAGAGTTGCTTTTGTTCACACCTAACTCCATAGGAGAATTTGTGATGCTACTAACTGAGCCAAGGGTCTGGGAGCTCAGTTGGGGGCTAGCTGGACAAGCCTCTGGGTTACCAGCACTTAGTGCATGGATCGCACCTGAGCTCAGTTGTGGACTCATGGGAGTCCTTTGATTCATTTGTTGTGGGCTGGTCTGTTGCTGGGCCTGTTGTTGCAGAGGTTGCTGGTTCACTTGTGGAATTCCCATGGTTGATGGTGAGCCTACTTGTGAAGAAGAAACAACAGCCTGTAGTGGTGAGGTTGTTTCTTGCTGCTGCTGCGGCTGTTGCTGTTGTTGTAACTGTTGTTGTAACTGTTGTAATTGATGCTGCTGCTGCAACTGCTGCTGGTGCTGCTGGTGCTGCTGATGCTGCAATTGCAACTGTTGTTGTTGTTGCTGCTGCTGCTGGTGGTGGTGGTTCATGTAAAGGTGGTTCATCCCAGGCATCATCTTTGGAGGACCCATGGGCCCCATAGCAGTCCGTTGCATTGAGTTCATGTTAGCCTGGTTCAGATTCTGGCCCAGCATAGAAATAGTAGCAGAACCTGGATGCATCTGTCTGGCTCCAGACATCCCAGCTATGCTTGATTGAGGACCACCTAACAGGCTTCCTCCGCCCATCCTTAGTTTTGAAATTAAAGCAGCTTGAGCTTGCGTTAGTGTTCCAGACCTAAGCTGCTGGCTTATTGCATTGGTAATACTTGAAGCTGGGTTACTACTAATTGAGTTTTGGCCCATATTACCCACGCCAGAAATAGGTGTCATTGGAGCTGAGATTCCTGTTCCACCAATTCCCCTTGCACCTCCAATTCCCATGGCATTGCCCAGGCCTCCAAGCCTGACCATGTTAGTGCTCATGTTTCCCATACCTACAGCAGTACCTAGTCCCATCATCATTTTCCTCGACATTTGTGCCTGCTGCTGTGGCTGCTGCTGCTGTTGTTGCTGCTTTATCATCTGAAGTTGAAGAGGGGAAGGTTTGCTGATCATTTGATTACCCAACTGCACGTTTGAATTCTGCCCAATTGCATTCAACTGTGGGAGAGGATTTGATGCAAGCATCATCGGTGATCTCGGGAACTGCTGATGCTGTTGTTGAAGCAAAATGTGTTGTTGACTTTGCTGCTGCTGCGGCAGCCGGCGGCAGCTGTTGTGGTTGTTGCTGTTGTGCTTGTTGTGGCTGTGGCTGCGGCTGAAGTGGTGGTTGTGGATCTAATTGCGGTGGCCTTGTAGGCATTGAAACCCCAGATAGGAGTCCTTGAGACATCTGTAAGGCCTGAGGGTTTCCAGGAGGCGGCGTCCTAGTGTTTCCTAGCACACTCGGGGATGGATTTATAGATATGTTATTACTGCTATTCGGCTTTGCAACTTCATTGGTTGCCTGACAAGGAGCAGCTTCGGCATACTGTTGCATTGTATGCTGCATATCAGCTGCAGAATTGTTGGGAAAGGCTACAGCAGAAATCGGTTGACTGCTAGAGGCCATAAGCACTCGAGTTGGTTTTGCCTGAACATTATCTTTCACAAGGTGATGTCCTTCATGCTGCATCTGCATAAGCAAGTTAAAATAAAATTGATGTGAAATAATAATTGTAACCTAAAATCTTGAACTCCGAATATGAAGACCATTAGCAGACATACCAGTGAACAGAACTGCTGTGCAAGTAAGTCTGCCAAGTGCTGTTGCAGGAATTAATCAGATGAACATGTCAGAACAACAATGGAGAAATTCTTGCATGGATAAGAAAAGTGGAAAATACAAAGGCTCAATTGTTCAAACTTCAAGCTGCAGTGAAGCACAAAATTTGATGTTTACTATATTGTTAGCCATTCATCCCTTTAGCTTAATTATAAACCCAGAGTGGGATGACATAAAATACCAGTCTAAGAGAAAATTTCTTAATAAACAATTGCATTATTGACTCAGTTTTTCTATGCTTCTCCATATGGTTGAAGTCTGCAACTGAGTTTCACAGAACAGAATGTAGGCCCCAAAAGGAAACACGAATCAAAAAGACCATATTGAGGAAAAGATCTCTAAATTGACAGGGACGTGAGGTTAGATTAGTTGATGTTAGACCTGCAGGAAATCCTCCAGGATGCACCAATGAAACTTCAGAATATGTTGATAATATGTTAGTAAGACAACGGTGAGCAAACAGAACCACCCCAATGAAAGTCTAAGAGGTGAATGTTCAAAAAGAAAAATACTAGCAAAAAACTCTAAACATAGTAATGGCAGAGATTTGCTTTCACCACCCAAAAAACTGGGGCCCTGAAGTTCTCAATTTGTCTAAAGGGAATATTCTTCTTTCAGGACTGCAAAATTTAACAAGTAAACAAACTTACAGTATTTGGAAGCGTAGGAAGATGAGGAATATGATCCTCGACACCAAGAATGTCACCATCGTCTATGTCTCCATAAATCATTGCTACGGTCCCATCAGTTGGTTTCTCAGACATTATCATTCTAGTTTGTACCCTAGAAACTAGAGAAACAACATTCCCTGTTAAAGTAGAGCAAAGTCAAGGCAAGGGATATAAACCGCTAAATAGTTGAGGGAACCAGAACCTGACAATTAACAGCAAAGCAAACCTTGAACAACATGATCGCCCTGAACAAAATTTAAGATTCTCGTCTTGTAAGTATTCATGCTGCCACCAAAAAGTGACTTTGATAGTGGATACAAATCGTTTTTAAAATCCTCGTTACTGGAAAGACTGGTTAGACAGGCAGATAAAAGTTGAGGAGAATGTGTGCTGGGTTTCTGGATGTGGTACTCCTCACCCTTGCTCTTTTTGCTGTTGAGTTGATACCTGGAATCGAAACCAGAACATGAATATTGTCATCCATACAACTTTTAACACAAATGGTAAGACATGAATTTTACTTCCTGAAAACTATGAATAACACAACCAATCAGGTGTCATAATATAATAATCCTCCCAAACAACATTCATGTTTTCGCGTCGCACCAGGACAAATAAAACATCTAGAGTAAACTAGCATCCTATAAAGTCTAACAAGATGATGCTAACATTATATACAGCATGGAAACACAAATTTAATTTATTCAATGGCTAGAAATCAATCAGAAAACTTCAGTGCAGTAGTAATTCAATTAACATCATACCTCATAGTCACAGTTTCAATCTTTGAGAACCTTTCAAGCATTGTTTGATCAGCCAAAGGTGGGGTTCCAACAGAAGGACTGCTTGCATTGAATGGAACACTGATATTGCTAACACTCACAGGAGATCCAACTGCATTTATTGCTGGGGTCTTGGGGAGGGAATTTGATCTTAGCTTGGCAGCAACTTGAGCCTGGTGTTGTTGTTGCATAGAGTCATTTGCACTGGAAGTCAAAGAAGGGGTACCACCAACAGCAGGAACTGAGTTAACAGCTGCCTTCTCCTTTAGAGATGCTCCAAGTGCAGAAGTTGTTGCAACAGCCCCAAAGTGAGGTCCTACAGAACCACTTGAAAATTCCCCAGATTTTGATGATAATGGAGATTGAGGCAAAGCCCCACTCGATAAACGTGGACTCTGTACTGATTTCCTTTTTTGGAACTGGTCCTCCTTTCTTGCTTCTTTCTCTACATGCTGACTGATATTGTTCCAAGGTGTCTGAGGGAAACCAGGTCTGACAAATCCATGGGGCAATCTTGGTTGAAGCCGTGTCTGCTGTGGGTCCAAATGCTTTGTATCAGTTTCCCTATTGAGCTGAGACCCATCCAACTTGTCTGGATCAAATGGCTCTTCCTTGGCACCATATCTCAATGCTTGCTGTGCTGCAGCAAATGGCATTGCACCAGCCTCCTGATTCAGAACCCCTTCAAAAACCTGCTGTGGATACTTCTGCATGCCTGGATTTGCATATTGAATTCCTCTTGCCATTGCTTGCTGGGGCAGTAACATATTCTTCCAGCTGATATCCGGTCCATTAAGGCCATCCATATGTGGCACAACTTGTTGCTGTGGCATCCCATCTGGTCCAACAGCATTAAGCCTAGTTCTTTTATTAAGGCCAGATAAGGGTGACATTGGACCATCTGGATTCTCCCGTTTCGCAAGAAGAGAAGAACCAGAGTTTATGCTCTCAGCATATGGCATTGTCATGTCCTGCCCAGCAGCGGAGGCAGCTGCATTGACAACGGAACTAGACCCATGATCCTGCATGCTTCTTGCATTCAAAACCCCCATTTGATACCTTGGTGACGGGGATGTCATGGGTAGTGCTGGAACAGAGGAATCTGGGACAAAACTTTTAGGTCTTAATGCTAACATATTGCTTGGACCAATATTTTGAGGAGTCAGATTTTCCTGGGCTTGTTGCGGCATCAAATTCCCTGAAACAATTCCTGCCTCTTCCAACCTGCCGTTAGAGCATTCCGGCACTCTATCTATGCAAACCTTCTTGCCATGGATCTTACGAGTAGAGGTAACTGTAACTTCTGGAGCCTGCCTCAATCTCTTTCTCCGCAGGCTACAAGAAGCAAGGTTGAGCTGCAAGCTGAAAATGGTTAAGAAAGACACAACCGATGCTCAAAGCAGAAGAATTTGACAATACTCTCTGAACTCATTACCTTAGTTGGAACAGGGTTAGTACAGAGCCTGTCCAGTTTGGGAGTAGGATCTAAATAAAGTTGTGGTTGCAAGGCTTTCAATATCCGTGACTCTGCTTCCTGAAGTCAAAAGGGGATTAAATGTATAACAGCTTAGCAACATGTAAAACAGTAAATTGCAATGGAGGAGCTGTCTGTATGTACCATTAAATCACCATAAGTCCACGAATTATCTGAAATCAATGGAATATCCTTCACTACATTCTCCAAAGACATCCTAAGACGCACTTTATTGGTGATAGGTGACCCATCCATAGCTGGGATGTTAGATCCTTGTTGAGGTGCAACTTTTCGATAATCCCGCACCTTCAAATGGGAAAATACAAATTTTAAGTCCTAAATATGATTCATTAAATGCACATTACCTATGCTCTAATAGTTACAGATGGCAAGTATTTAAACAAACATAAACTGCTACATGCTAAGCTCTCTCTCAGAGACACTAACAAAGAAGTTAAAAGTCCTTTGTCCACAAAATGCAAGGGTGGAATATTAAAAAGACAAAAAATGGGTTGAGATGGTGTTCTTGTGAGTGACTTTTGAGTCCAATGTTGGACACAGACAGCATGGTGATAACAATACAGAGCTGGGTTCAAGGGCTAGTTCAAGTGCATTGAGACTTGCCTAATACTCATGTTAATACTTTTGGTAATAGAAAGGAACTAGCACAGATGGATACGCTTGACTTTTTACATAAAAAGATAGAGATGTAAAGTATGATAATTTTTTAACTCACCTCACATACGAGTGTCCCATCAACATATTTGCACAGTATATCATCCAAAATATCTCCTGGCAATCGGCCAGATTCAATTGCCTTCGAGCACATTCAGACATATTTGAGGGGAAAACTTATAAGTAGAGGTCATGGTAAGAGGGGAAAAAAAAAAGCAAGAAAACATTGAGAGTAATTATGCTGCAGTTTCAAGGTAATACCAAGTAATTGCCTCATTAAATTAATCCAATTCTTCCTGAAACCCAAATGATTTCTTTTCTCAAACCAAGCTTTAAGAGATGAGTAGGTTAGCTCCAACAGCGAACCAATCAACATCACAAAGGCTTGATTTGGATGTTACTTTTGCTACTTGCTTTTTGTTATTTAAATTTTGCTAAAACTAAAACAAAATAATAGTTGATTAAACATGAAGAAATGGCTAAAATGTAACACAAATTCCACTATCATGCTTCTATGTGAACAAAAAAAAAACTGCTGTTTCATACAATGAAAGTCTTTCTTTTTTCTCAAAATATATTTTTCTTGTGTATCAAAAAGCAGTATTTCAAAGTAGCAATATTAACAACCAAAGAAAGTTACCACTTATCAAAGGTAAATATTCTCCTATCTTTCAAAGAATATTTATGAATGAGCTAATCCCAAGGCAAAATAAATGAAGTTTAAGTTAGGTTACTAGGCAACATAAAATCATGGTCAGGTATTATGAACATTGTTTCCTCAGATTGTTAACACCTGAACCTAGGGCACACCACTTTGTCAACCCACTTTTTACAGACAAGTGATGCAAAGAAGGGGTTACAAAAAAGAGTTCATGCTATCCCATCCACTATCCACCAAGACTCCTGAAGATGGAACCATACCAAAGACCTTTGTTAATCACACCATTTAAATCGAAGATTTATTCTTTACCATCTAAAAACGAACTTCCCAAACGTTTACCCAAAGCATATTTGATGTAGGAGACCCCATTTTACAACATTTTAGGAATAACAAGGAAGATAAAAATTAATTTGAAATAAGCAGAATGAGGAAACAGGAAAACTATTAGATTAAACACTTACTGAGAAGAGAGTTTCAGATGACCTATCATATGGATGCAACTTTGAAGCATCCTGAAAGGTAGCCTGATGCAAAGCCTCCTTCTGAAAATTCAAGAATTGTTTTAACTTAAAAGTGACTTACAAGAAGGAAACAAAAGAGTCTGCGGGTTTAGTACACTTTTTCAAATGAATAGAGTATCACTAATATTGTCTTAAACAAACCTCTTGGGGTTTTCCAATAGAATAGCCATCCGGGTAAAGGTTCAAAGTGAAGGAAATTTCATGGTCTGCAAAAACAAGAAAAAACCAACATACTCACAATTCAAACATTATCAACTATCCGGAGAAGGAAAAATAAAAACAAAACACAAAACTAGTTTCCCTAACCTGCAGGAACACAAAAAGCTTCATCAGCAACAATTGATTGAGACAACCGCAGAACACGCTCAACACCTTGAATGACATCACCCTAGATCAATAACAAATCCAAATAATCAGACAAAATCACAGAAAGAAAAAAAGCATACAAACTAATTTCTTTTCGCTATTCCCTCTTCTCTCAGTTATGGGCTATGAATCAAACTGAAGAGAGAAATCGTTCTAAAATCAGAACTTATGCCAGTTACTAAAGAAGTTACAAACTTAAAACTAAACAAAATCCATTAATTACAGTAATTATTACACCAAAAACATAAGGGCAATAAAAAAAGGGCAAGACAATGTTTTATGAAACGAGCCAATACATGAAATCAAGCTCCTGCTTAACACTTATGGAAATTTATTTTCAATAAATAAAACATAAAAAAAAAACTTTCAACACTTCAATTTATTTATAACTTAAAGTTAAATTACGGTAAAATAGAATAAAAATACAATTTAATATAATATTCTTGAAAAGAAAAAAAAAAGTGGCAGGATTTGTTCAATCAAAAAAAGTCCAGAATTTCCATCCACCCAAATTTATCCTTTTTTTACTTTCCAACAATATTTTAATCAACAACATAAAGGAGGATATGGGCTTTTATAAAATTTACCTGGAGCTTTCTAGGCCGTGAGCTTTCTTTAGAATCATCAGAGGGAACATCAACTGTAGCCTCTGATTGAAGACAAGGCTTCGGCTTGAACCTAGTACCGGTTTTTGAAACCTTAAACGAAACACCCATGTAAAGCCTTCTCTGCTTTATCAGGATTAAACCATGAGAAATTGAGCTTTAACGGGTTTTGTTTGGATCAAGAAAAAGATAATTAAGAACCCAGATTGAGTTTTCGAGTAAAAACTGGAGAAAAATTAGCAAAACCGTATTAAAAATCTTAAAACTTGTTGGGTTTATTATGGGCGAAATTGAGAAAGAGAGCTGGGGATTAATTGAATCGCTGGAAGGGCGTGTTTGGGTGGGGAAGAATAAAATAAAGAGAGACAGTTGGGTAAAGACAAAAACCAAAGTGAAATCTGAAATGTCGGGTTTGATGCAACCAAAGAGCCCTTTTAACAGAAAATAAGGCCTTGGGGAACTCAGAGTTCCAACTGAAAATCGAAATTGTAGAGCTCTGTTAGAAAAAAAAAATGATTGGTATTTGTTGGTGAGAGACAAGGAGAGACTTCGGTCCGGTTCGGATCTCGGATTTTAACAAAGTATACCCTGTTTGTCTGCGCTTTTGGTCGCCCAACGTTTTAATCCTTTTTAACTTGCAATAAAAACAAAAATAAGGGAAAATGAAAATTTTATGGCAAGATTTCCACCAACTAAAATCTTGTCTTGGAAAACTGTTCCCAAAAAAATACTATCTTTACATTTATAATCACTTAGATTTGGATTTAAGTTATTAATATAATAATGATTATGTTAAATTATAATACGATATGAAATAATACAAAAAATATACAAATATAATATTATTTAAAATTTTAATAAAAATTATATATTAATTAAAGAAAAAATTACTCATGTTTAACATGTCAACACATAATAATTTTTACACTTTACATATGTTTAATACAAAATAATAAGAATATCTTTTTTTTCAGTCAAAATAATTGTAAAAAGTAAAAAAAAAAAAAAAATGAAACGAAAATTACTATATTGCAAAATTATAGAAAATTTTGAAAAGGAAAATCTAAAATAAATTACTCATTTTTCATTGAATGTTCAAAAGAAAATAAAACACAATAAATAATTCTTTCTTGCATATGGAAACCATGATTGGTTAAGTGTTCAACCTTTTCTTTTTTTTTCTCTCCTCCCCATTTCAACTTATTACCCTCAATTGTTGCCAAGATCCATATGCCCATGTAGGTTTAGAACCTCAAATTGTCGTGTCATGCAGATCCAGGCTATCCAGAAATTTGGAGTGTTCCCTGTTTCAGAACTCTCACTCATCCAGACATAGAGAGGCACATATAACTTGGTAACAAATCAAGCAAAATCTCATTTCATATAATTTACAACATTTGCTTCTCTTTTTTCTACTGAATAAAACCAGAATTTGATCCCAAGCTGCTAAATCACAAGGAGAGTTCCTCTTGAAGCTCCATTTTGCATATGGAATATTCCCTCTCAAATAATAAAAATTCCTGCTCATGAGACAGAAATAATTGTTTGGATAAAATTGTGATAGTCAGTCCCCAACAACATGGGAGGCAAAATGAACAAAAAAATCAAAACAATAAAGTAATTTAAGGAGCCATGCAATTCCAATATGGATGAATGAGTTAGCTGCCAGACACCACATTTAAAGCATCAAAATTATAGCAAAGTTGACAGAGTTCAGTGACATACTCCTACTAACATCATCTATACCTTGATCTTACTAGGGTCCATTATAATGTCAAGTCAATGAAAATGCAGTTTACTCTTCATGTCTACAGTTAATAGAGGATTTCTTCATCTAAGTTATAATTCTTTGTTTCAGGATTGGCTTCTAGTAGTTACATATGTCGATATTTCATACAGAGATCCCCATAACATACAAGGCAAGAAAAAAGTGAAGTGATTGAAAGTGGCACTAATATCAACTATAGAGGGGAACCTAAAATTTTGAAGGTTTAGAAAACTATTTACAGAGGAGAAACTCAGAAACACATATACAAAATATTATTCCAAACATATTTCAGGTGAATATTAGCAGAACAAAAGGAGTGCACATGAGTTGAGGGGAAGGGAAGTAGATTTGTGAATTGCATTTGTCATGTCAAGTCCGTTCAGCATGTTAAAGAACAGTAGGAACAAATGTTCCACTACTCTGACAGATAAAAAGGACGAAAAGTTGCTTAAGAGGAAGGACCTATATGAGCCTCTATTCTCACATAACCAATAAAAATATCCACTTACCTGCAATTGTTGCTGACTGAAAAGATGGATGAACCCAGTTTCCAAACTTGAGACTAGCTCAATCAACTGGTCATGGCTTTCGGTTGGATTACCTGACTCCATAAGAGAAACAGAAACCTGCAAATGAATCAAGATATGGTAAGAACAAAAATATTGACATGGTGAAAGTTCTAAAATAAATGCACTTCCACAACTGTTGCTTTCTTTTTCCTTGTTTCTTGTCCTTGCTTCAATTAAATTTGCAAAATAACGTTCCCACAATGATGATATTTTTTTTGTTGTTTCTAGTCCTCGCTTTTTGGCAAAATAACAGTAACAATAGTTGGTTAAAAATTAAAACAGGGCAGTATAACTCAACTAAGAAAACAGACTCCCAAACAAAAGCTATGTTACTATGATTCTTCATTTTCCTTGAAGTACCTATGTCCAACAAAGATCCTAAGGACATGGGTATGGATGATCAATCTTCCATAAGGAAAAGCTTAGAATAAATTGAATGTAGCCATGTTGGACACATACCCATGTCCAGAACTAACCACTGAGTCCAAGTAACATAGAGCAAAAAAGCAAAGCCATCGTTGCCAACGTATGAAACATAACTTTAATTTTTGAAGCCATAAAATTTTGCTACGCTTAGGTGTCTATTCTTGCCTTTTCTTTCCCCTTTTGTCTTTTGGAAAACACTTCTTTTTAATGAATCATCAGGAAAGCGTTTTTAAACTGACTCTTTCCTGCTTTTAAAAGCAATGAGGCACTTTTCCTAAACAAGGTGCCCATATTAAAAATGATTAATGGGCATCATTCTTCCATAGAAAAGTTTACCTGCATGCATCGAAGAATGACTTCAGGAATACAACACCTACGACAGAGGCCACGCACAATATATGTTGCAGGCCCTTCCAAGGAACCATCTTTGCTTGAAAACCAAGCATCTAATCGAGATATCTCCATTGTAACTCCTGCTTGGAATCTAGCAAGCTCACCTGCATTTAACAAGTTCAACCAATATTGCAGAAATTTACCACCATGTTCCTATCACTTGCTACTTGACAGAGTATATTTCTTCCTCGACTAGTTATGATATCATACAAGATTTAAAAAGAATAGGTGCCTCCATCAAACAGTACCATGAATTTGCTCAACAATCATAAATAAGCAATTTTTAACATTTACTTTATAATTAAGTTTCTCCCAGGGGTACACAAGACTATGAAAGTCTGCAACTACAGACAAGCACAGCAGATTGGCATCTTCTTAGTCCCTTACCTTTGAAGCCAGCTGCCATAACAGAACCCAGAAGGCCACCATCATTCAGGATGTGTGAACCAATACCATCACCCTCTACAGCCAAGCAGCGCAACACAACCTCAACACTGTAGCTGTCCCTTGAAGAAATGGCAACATTTACCTGCCCATAAAGAAATAAGATAATGACTAAAGGAAAAAGGACAAACAGAAAATTTCATAAACCTAGGTTCATTAATGCCAAGCAGAAATTCTGGCCAAAATTATATATACCGGTAGTTTAAATCTTATAATGAGGTTAAATCCAAACCATGTTTATTTTCTTATATCATTCCCTTTCCTTCCCAATTTCTTACGGTGTGCAAAGCCATTTACCAAGAATGACTCCTTTCAAACCACAAGCCGTGAGTTGCTATTCTTTCTAATATCCAGAACTAGAAGGATCCTTTTCCTCACTTGATCTCTCGAGCAAACCTACTCTCATGCATGCTTTCTCTCAAGGTTTTAGAGAAGCAACGATTCAGTGAATGATATCATCCCATCTCTCTTCAATTTATATGCAATTACCACTAGGATTAAGTGGAGTTGACATCTAGAATTTAGCCTTGAAATGATCCAAGGCCTCCTTTTGCAGAGATACATATGTTGGAATTTAATTGTTCAACATGATGAAAATACACCACTTACTTTTATAAACAACTAGATCATTGAGGTTTTGGAATTGCAAAAACTATAGCACATCAAATCAACAATTTAATATCTGCATGGGCAACAAAGTTGCTTAATTTGGATAACAAAATAAATAAGCATACCATTAACTGACGTTCTAAGACAATGTCCTCAGCCACTGAAGAGTAAAGTGCACTCATTAATGCAGCACAAACAGTGGCATCTGGAGACATGGATTCACCAGAAGGCAGGCGGAGCATTGCAGTAGCATGCAATTCAAGAAATAGAGGTTCCATCGATTCATTTACATGCTCCTCCACAGAAATCAGCCAAGGGTTTTCTTTTCCTATAGTAAGCATTAAGATCATTAACCATCAAAGGCATCAATATGTTGAGAGCAAAGGACATGTATAAAACCTCCACATTCAGTGGAAGCAAAGTTTATCACACAATTGCCAATCGAAATATCTCCTTCAGTCAGAACACTGCTTTTATGCATGGAACATACAAGTCCGATTGAAAATATACTTACTCATTAGCAATGACATAGACAAATTTAATGTCTCTTGTGCTGCTGCAATGGCTTTTTGTTTTTCATCTACTGAAAGTTCAACAGGAGAAACATCTGCATTTTCTAATTCAATTTTGAGCCAGTTGCGATACGTTGCATCACAGGAGTAGTATTCACTCTATTTAAAATGAGAACACAGATAAGCAAACAGAAGAAAGTAAAGAAAAACTTATTAGTGCCACTAATTTATTTAGTAGAAAAGTAAAAGCATACCCAGTGTTGAAACTCTTTCAGATTCTCAGAAACATAATCTTCAAAAGTATCAGGGGTTTCAGAAAGCTGCTTCAAAGGCTCAGCAAGAAGACTAAGTAATTCATGTGCACCTATGGGCATTGCTGGCACTCTCCACATAGAAATCAGAGCAAACTCCCTGAACAATATATTGCTGTAGAAAGAAATGATGGTTACATGTCGAACAGAAAAGTTTTCAAACCAGGTTAAATTAGAATTGAGACAACTTCAAGTAATGCATAAATATCTTTCATACTTAAAGCAAAATTAAAAATGGTACACCAAACTAAACCAGAAATTCATTCACGACTATCAATTCAATATAGCTACAAGTAAAAAAAAGGAAAAGATTACCTGTGTATTAATGCTCCCAAAAGAAGTTTAGCACTAACATCTTTAACATCAGTAATTGTGGAGGGAGGTGTAAAGCAGAGATATTGGACAACAAAAGCTTTTTGAAGACTCTGCAGCCTATGTTGCTCCACAACATCAGATGATTCATCATATTTTCCAACTTTGGTTTCTCGTGACCGTGATAAAAGCCTGTTATCATGCCAAAGAATTCCAATTTTATTTGAAAAGAAAGGATCATTACTGCCTCGAACATATGCTTCACAGACACATCAATACCTCTCAATAATTTCTTCAAAGCTTCCTTTCAAATCATCCCCTTGAGAAAATGGCAAATACTCCATGGCAGAAAGGAAGATTTTATATTTGACATGCACACTGTTACCAA